GGGAAGAGACAAGAGATGGTGCAACGCGCGAGTGATGGGCAAAAAGTTTTAAATGGTTATTTAAAAAAAAAAAAAAAGGTAAATGGCTGCAAATTTGCAGCTAACTTGTGTCATGGTCCTGGGTCGGTGACCCAGTGTTTTGAGTTTTGTGTCATTATTGAATTTTCATTTTGTCATAGTTTATCTTTTCTAGTCTTTCGGTTCCTGTGTTCCAGGGTCTGCTGTATTCCCTAGTCAAGTCTGCGTCTGTTATGTTTCCTGTTTTACTTTGGAAGTCTGTGTCCAATGTCAGTGTCTTTAGTTTCACTTCCCCTGTCCTGTCTTTAGGTTCATGTGTGTCAGCTGTGCTCCCATGTGTGACCACTTCCCTTGATCATCCCTTATGTGTATTTAGTCTCTGTGTTTCATTCAGTCTGTGTCGCGTCGTCTGTGTTCCACGCCCTATGTCAGTTCTCGTTTAGTTTAGTTCATGTACTCCAGCCTCAAATAAAGGCTCGCCTTTTGTTTAAAGTTAATTTGGTCTGCATATCTGTGTCCGCACCTGGGTCCTCCAAACACTTTCCACACAGTCAGCCACTGCGAACCATTACAACTTGTGCATGGGATTTTAAGATTTAAAATTTATTTTTGTATTTAAGTTATGAAATATGATTCATTTAACATGTTTGTGGTTGTTACAGCATAAAATATAACTTTTTCTACTCAGATTTTATGTTTTTTGTCTGATTTTAGATCAATTGTGTTAATACAGTAGTCAAAATGAAAACATAACTGTAAATTCAGACACGTGAGGTTGTGCTGAAAAGAATGATACCAAACAAGGCAAAGTAAATAGTTTTTAAAGGTGAAATGTAGAGGTAAATCAAAAGTAGTCAAAAATGGCCAAATATACCCTCGACCCCAGAGGGTTAAATTTTTTAAAGTAACGCAATAGTTACTTTTCAAGTAATTAATTACTTTTAGAATATTGAGTTACTAATAGTTACTTTTTGAAAAATAACTAGTAACTATAATTAATTACTTTTTCAAAGTAACTTGCCCAACACTGGTGACAAATAACAGTTGTTTGTTTTGTTTGTTTGTTAAAAATACACCATTATTCGCTGTGAGTTGGGTACTGACTTAACAAAGAATTTTACCAGTACAGTGTTAGTGTTGAGAATATTATGTGTTTTTAGTAAATATCTGAATGCAACTATTAAATATTTCTCCAACAAGATTGATCAGTATGTGATTTTAAATTTTTTTTAAATTATGCACTTTGACATCTTAATTCACTTACCGATTGTCTGAAGGATCAGACTTGGTGCAGATAAAGTGAATTTGCTCACACTGACCACCATTTCCGATGAGGCCATGTGCACTTTTTAGAATCTCCCAGGCCTCATTCTCTGATGCTGCCCGAGTAATTTCAGCCACAATCCACACAGTAGAACAATCTCCAACAATCTGAAAAAAATTATAGCACGTCAATTATAAATAATTAAAACAAAAGATGTTAAAACAACACCAGAAAAACAACAAGAAGTTGATGTGAAAAATTACTTGTCTCCACATTTCGTTCCTGCTCTTGTTGCGATCGCCATTTCCAGGAAGGTCCACAAGTGTGACATGCTGGAGAAACTTATTGTTTGGCACCCTGACAGTCACACACTTTACTAGTGGCCAAAACCACTGCTGTGCTTTATATCCATCTTCCTGCTTTGGAACATACTTTATATATTTAAGAAGTTCTTCAGAGAGCTTTTCAGCCTGCAATAAACAAGATAAAAAGATTAATACATTTACAATTAAATCAGTAAATTTAAAAAAGAAACCCAAATTGTAGACTAAATTTTTATCTTGGGAAACATTTTAGATTTTTTTTAATGTTTAGATTTAAGGATGATCAAACTTGGGCACATATATGCACACAGTATCACAGACGCATTTGTTAATGCAGCTTCCCTAGTGTTTTATGTTTACAGCTAACAGACCTTTAGTCCCGTGATATCCAATGCAAATTGTTAACTTATTTGCACGAGCAGTTGAAACTGTTCCTGTGGTAATGGCTCCTAGACTCTGGAGCTCTCACCCACTGAGACGTGTGATTTGCGTTAAAAAGCAGCTAAAAATTCAACTTTTAAATTTTGGTTTTGTGTAGCTTTCTCTCTTTATGCTGCCAGCACTTTGGTTCTGAACTACATTGTAATATTTATTTCAAAAGTTGTAAAAAGGCTTACTTGTTACTTAACATTACAAAAAGTTATTACTTAAGAAAAATCAACATTCTTCTGGAGAAAAAGTATAGGATTGACATCAGTAGCTAGTATTGACCCCTTTAATCCCTAGAGATGGCATGATACCACTTTTTTATGTCCGATACCGATATCATAAATTTGGATATCTGCCGATACCGATATGAATCCGATATAGTGTTTTTTAATCAATAAAACTGTTTTTTAAATATCTTGCTGCATTTTGTATAAGTTCATACTCAAGTTTAAATAAACAACAACACTAAAGCTATTCTGTTATACCTGTATGTAAAAAATACACTGCACCCAAAATATTTCATAGTTCAGCAATACTGATCAATCTAATAAACTTAAACCTACTCCATCCTCCCTATTCTGGTATTTTAAAGAGTACTTAGCAGAAATATTAAGCAACCTAACTAATAGGGTTGCAAACTCCCAGCAAAAAAAAATAGGGAACCACCCTCCACCTCATGATGCTTAATCAACTTTAATTTGATGCAGTGGAAAAAAATGCACAGAATTAAATTATTTTTCAAGAATAATTAAATAGATTCAACATCTTTCTTCAACAGAATTGCAGACTGCACAGATGGTACCTTCCCAAAGGAAAAAGTAGTATAGCTTACTAGGGTATATTAGACTTAACAGTTACTATATACAGTAATGGACTTCTATACATTTTACATCAGATTAAAACTTTGGGTGTAAGATTCAGATAATTATTTATTAAAAGCTAGACATTTTAAATGAGAATAAGAAAGAAAAGTATGTCTTTGTGCCCCCTTTTCCCTGTTCATGCCCTATCGGCCCCCCTGGCTAAACTTTGCTAGATCCGCCCCTGCACAGTTACCAGCGTCAGCTACGTAGAAAAAGATCCTGGTGTAGAAAGTAATATTAAATAAATTCTAACAACAGCTTATCAAGCTTAAACGTGCTGCTGTTGTTCAGCCGCTGGTTTCCTCTTTCTGGTGCAAAGTGGGCCAAAAACAAACAAGAGAGACGGACTCGCGACAGAAAAGCCGATCAGCTGATCATTAACAGTTTCATGATTGAAGTAGCAGCAGGAGAGGGAGGAGAGAGAAGAGGCAGTCGCTCCATATATCGGTTGTTAAGCTTAACGTGGGAATGCTTTACAAACATTCAGAGATGAACTTACACACTTGCTTTACTTCTCTCTGGGATAACTTCCTCGGAGATGAAATGCCGGTTTGGTAGCGAGGCTACAAATACACACAGCCGCTCTATCACGTGAGCACACTGCTCCGACGTGCTACGGTTATGAGCCGAGTTACGCCGTGTCGCAAGTTTTGTGAGGTGCTTTTTTGATATTTAATGGATCGGATTACATTTTTTATTTCTCTCCGATATCCGATCCAGTAATTTACGTCAGTATCGGACGATACGATACGTAATATCAGATCGGTCCATCTCTACCCTAAACCCAGCAACTTATGTCTTTTAAAATTATCCACCAATCTCTGACATTAACCTATTGAGAGATTTAACTACTCTGTTGTGCAAATATCTTTACAGCCATAAAATGCTTGATTATTTTCTCAGTTACTGTTACAGTTACTGTGTGATTCAAATTTCAGCAGGATTCAATATTCACTAATAATAATAATAATAATGGATTGCATTTATATATCACTTTTCGAGACCGTCAAAGCACTTTACAATCCCACTATTCATTCACTCTCACATTCACACACTGGTGGAGGCAGCTACAGTTGTAGCCACAGCTTCTTCGGGGCAGACTGACAGAAGCAAGGCTGCCATATCGCAAACTAAATGCTGTGGCCCCAGAAACAGAAACACTAGGAAACGTGGAGCACGGAACCAGGAACGATTGAATAGGGACATACGGAGAAATTTAAACCACATGGGACAAGGCGACAGTGGGCAGAGGAAAACACAGGGCTTAAATACACAAGGGAGTAACAAGGGATTGAGACACAACAGGAGAGCACAGCTGGGAGTATTCAAACATGACGAGACAAAGGGGAAGCATAACTCAAAACACTGAACACAGGACACGAGGCTATCAAAGTAAAACAGGAAACACAAGACAGGCATGGAGAAGCAGACTTGACAAGGAGGTATGGCTGACAGGGAAGACAAAGCAAACATAGAGCACAGAGACAAGAGTAACAAAACATGGAAAACAGGGAAAGAAAGGTAACAGAAACCTAAAGACTAAAACTAAGAATATATTTTAATGTGTCTGGGAAAGCTGACCAACACAGCTAATCTCCATCAACTAATCATGCATCTGGGGTGCCTTCAGCACACGGGGTAGAACCGGTTGTCCAATAATCATAAGGTTGGTGGCTAGATCCCTCTAACTTGGGGCAACATACGCCAAGTTAGAGCTATATACGAATCAATCTCTCCTATTTAAGTAGGATGCTTGGACCTGACAAGGGACCTCAGCTGCAGGAGGCAGCTGGAAAATGTAAATAAACATCCACGTGCCTTGGGTCCTTTTTCCACATCTAGTTTTCAAACCAGTCAAAAGCAGCACTGAAGTTTGATAAGGCAAGAACAGATTTGTTTTAATATTTTGGTCTGCACATTCTACTTTCCTTTTATATTGTTATTTTTTTAATAACAGAATAGGCTGTCTATAAATTATATCATATTATATCAATGCAAGCAAATTCCACTCATTGAAACAACAAACATGGAAAAAAATGAAGTAATAGAATAGTATTTGAACTTACTGTGTCACAATGCAAAAATTTCCTCTTGGGCTCTAAAAATTCTGGAATATTTTTGAAATACTTTTTTTCCAAGAGGTTTTCAGGGGATTTGTCTTTCCATTCTTCTCCATACAGGGCTGACAGCTTTTTAACCATGTCCCGATAGTCATCACCTTTCTTAAGAGTCTTCAGTGACCATAATTCATCATGCCACTCCTAAAAGACAAAAATCATTGCATTTTAGTTTTATAAATGATAATGTAAAGCAAATACCTGCTGTATTTTTGTAAACGCATATACTGTAGCTTTAAATAAAATATTTAATTCTCACCTCCTTCAAAATGAACTCAATTTCTGCCTCATACTTTGGGCTGCAAGTGTTAGCCTCCACCTTTATCATGACTGTGGTGCATGCACTGATTATTCCAGTGGCCAAAAGATTCTTCTCATTAATGATGGCATTGATTAAAGAGCTCTTTCCAGCCCCAGTTCTTCCAAAGACACCAACAAGCTCTCTCTTGTCGGTTTCCAAATCATTAATTTTGTTCCTGTTGTACAAGTGGGTTAATTTATTCAACCATGAAATGTGTTGCAAAATGAGGAAGACACCTTTCTGTGCCCAGATTGTTAAATAATAATTTAAAAGTCATTATATTATTATATTATTATTACATTATACTTTTAAACGAACAGTAAGATGAGCTATGTACATATGTACTGTACATATGTACAGTATGTAAATGCTCACTGGAATTAGTTGGCTTGGTGGTTCATTCTTCTTGTGTGTTTAAAGTTTTACGATCCAATATTTAACCTATTAATACTACAACAGTTTGGAATGAATGCTTTTGTTCTAATTATCTTTGTGTATATATAAAATCTGTATATGATTTTCTTTCACCATGATTGTTACTAAACTAAAATGTTTTTTACCCAGATGTTTATGTAACAGAATAAGGGAACGTTGATACTCACTTTAGGAAAGTACTTAGCTTGTCTTGGCCATGGAGACTGTCACTGACATCTTTCATGATGCCTTTCACTTCAGATAATATTCTTGTTTCTGTCACTGTGAGAGTAAAGAAGTGTTTAGCAGGCACCAGTTTAATGCACAATGTTACACACTGATAATGAAAAACTGGACTATATCACTTATTAAAGGAGCAGTGCATGGCAGTAGGTTGATTACTTCATTTAAATATTATTTTATTGTATGCCAGACACCAGCAAACCAATAAGAAAGTATTTTCTGTTTCTCTGGCAAAGTCAGACACATGCAATACAACAAAAGATTCACTGCATAGAAGTTTTACCATACAGTGCAGTGAAACTGTCATTCTTTGGAAACAAATGTAAAAACCTGAGTCACGTTGTCTTTTAGTTGGGGATTGCCATTTGTTGGATTGCCCCTGAAGATCTGATTTTCTTTTTCCTTATTAGATTAGAAAACACAAAAGGTTAGGTTTGTTGTCTCTGTCAGTGGAGGTATTTGGTCAAAATCAATGTGTTTCTGTCTTAAAAGATGAATATTATAAGTAATTCATATGTGACATCTGTCTCACCTTTTGAACTTGTGGATGGTGGAACCTGGAAATTAAAATGGACATTTAGTTGTTGTTTTTTTTTAATGCAAAGAAATGAAAGCTCTTCACACAGGTATCATTTAACCGCATTTTTAAGAACATATGTCTGAACACATACTTCCGCAATCCACGCAGTGAAATGCAAATTTACTTTCTGTCTCATCTGGGATTAGAAATATTAAC